CGTTTTATGCGTATTTGGCGCCACCTATTGTTGTGGGTGTATTATTGACATGTCAAAGTCTAGACCCTGAATATAAGACGACCGCGTATTTTCAGACGTATTTCCAAGAAAAAAACATCGTCTTATACTCGGGTCAATACGGTAATAATTTATATACAGTATATATATATAAGATCTATAATCTAATATATATATATATATACACACACACACACACTGTATTTTTTACTGTATTTTTGATCAAAATATTGCAGTTTTGGTAAGACCTCTGAAAGAATTTTTCAAATGTTCAGAAAAACTTTTGAACCGCACACACAATCACACACATACACAAATATAGTTATTGTTATAGTTATCTTTAGTTATCATTCTTGGTGTGAACAGACCTTAATAGACTTCTTTCCAAAACATAAACAATTCTTACAGACCTTAAACATTTGAATGGTATTTTTGATAAGAAATGATATCTCCATTTTTATGTGATTTTGTCAATAACAATAATTAAATTAAATTTTGCTGAGTGTGTTTTTGTGCTGGTACCTTGGCTGTTTTCAGCCTGTCATGGATAAAAAAATATGACACTAAAACTGCCAGTAGGTGGCGGCAAGTGCCTGTCTTAATGAGTGATTTATTGAATCACTCATTTAAACGATTCATTTGAAATGGCTGATTCATTTAGAAACAAAGCAAATGACTGTCTTTATGAATGGATCATTGAATCATTGAATCAAATGATTAATTCAAAAACATATTACCGTATTGGCCCGAATATAAGACGACCCTGATTATAAGACGACCCCCCTTTTTCCAGATGTACCTTTTGGAAAAAGGCTTTTTAAAAACCAAATCTTGTTTTTTCTCAGTAAAACACATTTTGTCTTCAATTATTTTCATAGTGCATATTTTTTATATTCGGGTCAATACGGTAATTCACGAATGAAACACCGCAGTATTGCTATGGGATGCGCAAATGTTCTGTTTAGGCTTTGTTTGGAACTGTTTTCGTTGGCTAAACTAAAATGTAATTTACTCAATATTAACTTCTTTTTTGTTCAACTGTTGTATAAAATCAATATCACATTCGTGGTCATTTTTCCATGTCTGCTGTCTGTGATGTCACAGCTCAGGATAGTCACTTGTGAAGAGTCAATCAGTCAGTCATTGTGTTCCTGTGACTTTAGATTGATGAGTCATGTTTTTGGCTGAGGTGATTGGCTCAAATAGTTCTTCCAGGGAGTCACACACATGCCAAGAACTGCCACTGAGACGAATGGAAACGCTAGCAGATAGTTTTCTCCAGGTATATTAGAGCTCATAGGTGAGAACCGTGAGTATAAAGAGAGAGAGAGCAAGGCACTCCCAGCATGCCTCTGGGGAGGAGGCAAGCAGAATACACTGGTGCAACACCGGGAAGAGAAGCAGTTCATGAGAAGCAGTTACTCCCTATGAGAGAGAGACAGAATGAGATAAAGACATGGTAAGTTTGTATGGGAGAGACGCTGCTGATGTCACTGCTGTAATCGCTGCGTGTGTGTGTGTGCATGCATGAGTGTGTGTTTGTGTGTGCATGCGCTGAAGTTGACCTTCAGTTGAAGCGCATGCTGCATGAGGTGAAACCGTCCTGACTCAATCTGGAGCGAAAAACACCAGGGATATGCAGAATTTGGATCTTTACAGCCGACTGGACGCTCAGGTATGAGCGGCATGCTGGTTTTACTGGAGTTCAGGTTTTAGTGGCATCTGCTGCGTGCAAACATTGCCAAGTTCTAGGATTTAGAAAATGCATGCATTTTTATGATGTCCTGGATTGTCTTATTGCAGTACTAATATTGCCAGATAATATGCATGATTTAGAGAATTAAATTTAGCTGTTGTTTGAACAGTGTGCAATAGTGCAAACTGCAGTAGTGCACTACAGAATTGTGGGTGATGTAGTCTGTGTATTGCAGAGGATGCAGCGTGTTTTCTGCAGGCTGAATGTCATTGATCAGATGCTGGGTTAGTGCTTTGGAGGAGGGGTGCAGGAAGCCTCTGCTGCTACAGTAAGAAGCAGGTTACATGCTGCAGATGTCGGCCAAGACCTCCCATAAATCCAGCACAGATCTCTGACACTGCTTCATCCCTCGCTTCCTTTCTAGGACTGTATACTATGAGAAAAAAAGGTACAAAACTGTCACTGGGATGTTACCCTTTCAAGGTATAAATATGTACGATATAAATATGTACACTTTATGTACTAATAAGTACTTTCAAATAACTAATATGTACCATTTAGTAGGGATGCACCTATACCACTTTTTCTAGTACTCGCCCGATACCGATACTTTTATTTTTGGTACTTGCCGATACCGAGTACCGATACCAATATGCAACGCGTACAGGTATTTGTACTGATGCAGAATGAGAGTAGTACAGCCTTGTACAGTAGTACAGCCTTGCACATTTCACACAGGCTGTTAGTTTCACTTTCGCCAGAAAGTCGTGTATGTTAGGACATTGTGAGAATGTTGTACGTTTTCACTCAACATTATGAGAATGTATATCATATTAATAAAGTTATAATAATGTTCCATAAACATTATTTTAAGAACGTTATGTCCTAACATTTATATAACTTTTAATACATGTTCGTGAAAGTTAGCTGGGCATGCACATTGACTGCATATTATATTATACAGTATAAGCCTT